TTGCATGCAACATTTCTCAAGATAGATTTCTAAGCCTCAAGTGCACTCTGAGCATCACACACACAATTTGTTCTTAACTGTCTCTTTCTCAGTGATTCCACTGAAACAGAAGAAGTGGCCAGTGAACTTCAAGGTTTGTTTAATCTGTCAGCTGTGTACAGACAGACCAATACACACACTGTCAGTCACCTTGCACTCCATGGTGGTGGTTGAGTTTGGAGAGCTAAGCACCTGGRAAAAAACATCCGGAAGTAGTCTGTGGTCATTGGAAGTGTTACCATGGGATGGGTTTTACAAAAATGATGGTACAGGGACAGACTGGAAACCTGTATCTCTATTAGCCTCTGACAGTTAATAGCAGAGCACGTAAAACAAGGCACAGGAGAGTAGGAATTCATTCAAATTCCTGCGTGCTGTGGTCAGGAGACCACAGAGCTTCCCAAAACAGGCCAGGTATTTGTGTCTAACAACCTCATGAATTTTCCCTTGTATTAAGTGCTCCTCCAACATGCCTTTAAACCAGATGTACAAGACCAGAGCTACACAAAATCAGCTGGCCCAARACATGTCTTCACTGAACCACTACTGTTCCAAACTCCTCAAAACTAACTGATGGTTAGTTATGGTGGACACATTTCCTCTTTCTGAACAAGGCTATCAGCAACTGATTTTTTCTYATCTCCTTCAATATGTGAAATGCTAAGTAAATCCTTGAGCTTTAAGTGCAACCCCTACTGTTGTGATAGACAGTCAGATTTAAGCTTTCTGATAAAACAATAGACTAAGTAATAGTATTGCCTACAAAGGCCAAACCTCACAGGCAAGTTGAAYAATTCTAGGAGCGCACAGAGCAGCTGAAGAGGTTTTGCTGAGCACATAAAACCCCCACTCAATCAGGCACTAAATTTATAAGCTGTTCTTACAGAAAGAATTGAAACAAAACTGAAGTAACAACAGAGAACAACCCATGTTTAGGTAGCAAGGTAAACCAAAACTGGCCAACGTGGTTAAATTCTGACTTGTCTTCTCCAAGTCATAAGTGTAGAAGCTTATGATAACATTTAGTATGATTCACATTCTTTATCTGCTCATAAAAAATCCTGTCTGTTTGAAACAGTCATGGCTATTCAGCATCCAGTAACCCGGAAATGTTCCTGCCCTTGTTTAGAGAGGGACTGTCACCACAATATTACCAGAAAAACAAAAATGCTGACCATTAATAAGAAAAAAAACAACAACAACAACAACAAAAACTACATAGACACAGAATCCATGACAGCAAGGTACACTAAATTAGAGCTAGGCCAACAGGATTTGTATAGACACTTCCTTGGACATCACTGTTGATTTGCAAAATGGGTGACCAGTAGGACAGAAAAATGTTTAGCCAAGTGTGATCTCGGGGGCTCTCATGGCAGCCCATGACAGATACACAACTACATCAAAGTAATTACAGAATGCCAACAACCATGCAAGATTCCCAGAATTCAATGTATGTAACCCTGACATTTTATTCTAAACATTCTGGTTCCTGTGGCACACTTGTGACAATTCAAATTCTGGAAGCTGGAGCCTCAAGAAACACACTGAATCTCATTCATAGAACTTGCAGTAGAATTTGTGAGAACCGCCAACAGTGAAATAACTAATCCTGCGTATATACATTTTTGAAAGAATTAGATGGGCAAGGCACCAATTCAGTAAAACTTAAATCTGACTTCACTAGGACATTTCATCACATGCTTAAATGGTTTGGTGGATTGGATCTCAAATTAAATGTAGCAACCACTTAAAAAGAAAGGAAACAATCACAAACCAACATTTTCATCACCAAAGTAATAATTCAATTATTACAATGAATTCTCCAAATCATGCTTTGGTCAGAAACAATGCCTAAGGTCACACCTTTGACCRTGTTAATCYAAGCCTCAAGATACCAGAAAATRAGGATTCCATACTGTGCTTCACTCATAACTGGTCTTTCTAGATTTTCAAGAAAAACCTTTTTAYTGTTTTGAGACCCTATACTTTAGAGATCTTGTAACCTACAACCAAACCAGCAMAAGAGTGTAAATCATCAGTACCTCATATTCCCCTCTGCAGTGTTTGGGAAATGCTCCTTCTTTTAAGGCAAATAGTGGAATATCAGTGCAGGATTTGATGATGCTAAGCACATTGGCTCACCCTAAAGACAGAATTTATTGGGGTAAAAAAAGGCATCTGTGAAGCATGTACCCACACATCTTTGCCTTTTCGCTTGCAAATAAACTCTGTTCCCAGTTCACTACATCAGCAACAGCATCAGCTGAATCTTTTTGCCCAGAATGAAGGCCAGTAGCAAAGGCCAGTATACAATATMGTGGATTAAACTGCCACATCCCTAAAATGCTCACATTTCCCATATGTTTACACTGACAGAAATCCTTCCTGTCCCAATTAAAGATAAAACTACAGCCAGTGACAAGTAGTTGCTTTTCTTTAGATTAAGGTCATACCTAAGGATAATGATAAGGCTGTCACTGCTACTCTCCAGCTGAGATTTGATGACCAGTAGCTGCTCATGGGACAACTGTGTGATACCCAGAGCTGCCTAGTCCAATCCTATATGGGGCTTTAAACGCATCCAGGTGATGGCTGAGCTCTCCTCTGACTTCAAAGGTCTTAATGCAAATTTCAACAAGGAAAACATYCTATTCTTTTCAAGTTACTCTTTTCAAATCTCCTCTGTTAACAYCAGGGTGGTGCTATCTGTGACAGCCAACACTTTAGAACCATGAAGTGTACATAAACAATTTCAGGCACAGACGCCTCTGTAATTAGTCAACTTCTGTCTTGTTACAGGTGCAGCATTGCTGGGGTTTAGGGTTTCATTATGTAACTACTGCTACAGTCATAGCAATGGTGAGCCAAATCCTGTTTTRCAGAGTATTTAGGATAGTAAGACAATTYTCAGCCCCAGTAGAGCTGTGTCACMTTCTCACAACAGGACTTCAGGCTGCTCTCCTACATTTCTTTTTGTGACTACTGTGCTGGTGTAGGGAAGAAAGCAGAGGACATCTGAAGCACAAAGCAGAGGTTGTTTACTTTAAAAATTAACTAATTTATGGCCATTTCATTCCTATGTAAGTACATAAAGGTCTGGCTGCCCAAGGTAAACAGAGTCGAAAACAGCTCTAGCAAAACAGAGCAGTAGAGTCCTGGCCCTGGACTTTACTTGGTACAGGGATAATCCACATGCACCCAACTGAAAAGAATATATTTAAGCATTTAGTTATACTGGAAATTAAAATTACTTGCTTTTATTTTTTAATTAAAAAAAAAAAAGAGGAGGGAGCACTTGGTAACAGTAGCAGCCTGTCTGGCTGGCTTTGAAAGCCACATTCATATGCCCGTTTATTTTCATGCTCCAGTATTTCAGAAGGTCAGTCAGCCTGAGACTTGTCAACTGCTCAGGAGTTAAGTTGTTCCAGTTACTATATCCAACCAGCAATCCGTCTGCCAACATTCTTGGTTAATATTTCTCTCAGAAGCATGCAGAGAAAAAGCAGCTATGACTAACAGGAGGAGAAGRGTTTTACTACTGACAAAACAGAGAYGCAATAYAGAATCTCCCCGTCCCTTTCTAATGCCAGGCATTACTCGCACTTCTAGTCATAGAACTTGGTTTTACTCATTCATTCTGTATAGTAAAACCCCCAAACAAATCCTTGGTAAGAAAGACACTGCTGGGAAAATCAATTTCTGAGAAATCAGTAGTATCTTCATATCTTGAACACCCAAGTGAGCAACTTTTCCCCCCCTTTTTACTGTTTAAACATCAGCTCCCCCCTTATACAASAGTAATTCATGCAAARAAAGGAGAAAAGMCAAAATCATCATTCTTTAAAGTARTACCTGYACAAGGAAGACCATCTGCAAWGCTGCATTAGTCAATGATCTGTGGCAAAGTCTTAAAATAATACMTTTTTATTAGCATAAGCCAGAAATTGCAAAAGCTTTTAAAGCCAAAACTYACGCTTTAAGGTTTGGGAAGAAGTCTTTCCTTCTATGCCCTTCATAAAAGGGAGGGGAAAAGAAATAACTGTTACATTCCGACACTTGTTATAGTTTAAAAACCTTGCAAAATGTTTAGAAAGATTCGGAGGAGGCTTTCTAATTTCATCTTTCCCTATTTCATCCCCATGCTTGTTATCACAGGAATCATCTCTTGCTACACCCAAGCACAGGACCAAGCACAACACAGCTCCACTTCGAGCAACCTCGTCTCGCTGCGACACTAAAACAAAAACTATTCAGGAAACATGCCCTTGAGATCACGGATTACTGAAAATCCCGAGAGTGTTTTCAAGGCTGTGCTTTCTCTTTACACGAAGTAAACCTCGCCTGAACCACCTAAGATTAAGATCTTAAGAAGCAGCAGCCATCTCATGCTTACGACCTCCAGATGGAAAAGGCACCTGACACGGAAGGGGGAAAAAAGTATTCTGAACTAGAATCTGCAACTATTTACACCAACAGCTTTTCCAACGGAAACCTTAAATTGCAGACAGTCGGAAAGCAAAGAGGAGGCACAAGGCAGCTGCTCCCCATCACCCTTAGTCAGGCAGGAACAACATACATCAAACTTTTACGGGTATGAAACCTTTACTAAAATACATTTTCTTAGATTTGCCCATTAGCAGAAGAAAATTTTAGRTTATGATAGGAAAGAACAAGAAATCCACAGGAGAAAAAAATTCTTAACAGCTCAACAGCGGGAAGCCAAGTCTCAGACACAGCAGGGCAGCGGTTTGCTGAGTTTTTCTGCTACCYGCCCGTGTATTAAAACTAAACCAAAGCCCAAAGCTGCTCTGCGGGGCTGTGCCGGACCCGGTCCCGGTCCCTGTCCCTGTTCCCGGTCCCGCCCGCGCAGCGCACGGAGCACCCTCCGTCCCGCCCGCCGCTGCTCTCGGAACAGGAGGGAAGAATAATTAGAAATCCATTAGTGAGTAATAAGAGCAACGCCGAGCCATTCCCGWCGCGGGCTGACAGGGACGCGCAGCTCAGCGGCTTCTCCCCACAGCGAGACCCAGCCGGGGGCAGGCGGAGCGGCGGGAGCGCGTCCCCTCACGCCAGCGGACCCGAGCCCCGGCGGAGACGAGCCCGGGAGCTGGTGGGGAGAGAAGGTACCCTGAGCCGGGGACCCGCGCAGGGCAAGGGGAGCCCCCCGAGGAGGGAGCGGCACTCACCGGCTTTGGTATCCGCGCCTCTCCCGGCCGAGGACGGAACGAGCCCCAGCGGAGGGCGGGCAGGTGGCCGGAGCGGCGCCGCGGGCTCCGCCGAGCWGCCGCCCCGAACTCATGCGCACTGCGCCGGCCGCCACCCACGGCGGGCGGATAAAGCGGCCGGGCGGTGGCTCTGCTTGGCCCGGCTCCGCCTCGCCCGGGCGGGACCGCCGCCTTTGTCCCGGCGCTCGGGGCAGGGCGTGAGGGAGGGAGTTAGTCAGTCAGTCCTCCTTCCCGAGGGAGAGCTGCGGTGTGGTCTGGGCTAAGGGGCTGCGCTGCCCCAGGAGCGGACCCCGGTGTGTTGGAGCTAGGAAGTTCGTCAGGGGTCTGGAGAATCTCACTTGCGAGGAAAGGCAAGTGAGATTCGTTAGGGRTCTGGAGAATCTCACTTGCGAGGGAGATGAGCCTGATGAGCCTCGGGAGGAGGTGACTGAAAGGGGACCTCCTCAAGGTCTATCAGTATCGGAGGGGAGAGTGTCAAGACGATGGACGAGGCTCTGCTGCGTGGTGCCTCTCAATAGAACAAGAGGCAAAGGGCACAAACTGATRCCCAGCAAGTTCCAGCTGAACATGAGGAAGAGCTTGTGTCCTGTGYAGTGACCGAGCACTGGAACAGGCTGCTCAGAGAGGGTGTGGAGTCCCCCTCACCAGAGATATTCAAGAACCATCTGGATGTGGTCCTGTGCTGTGTGCTCTGGGATGGCCCTGTTTGGCCACTGCGGTCCCTTCCAACCGGACCAATTCTGTGATTCTGTGTCCCCCTGCAGTGTGGGGGACGTGGGTCTCCACGGCCACGCTGTGAGGGCAGAGAGCTGTGAGGGGGCCATGGTGGGCACAGTGGGTAAGGGGACAGGGACATCTTTGTTTGCCTCAGAGAATCCTGAGGTAATGCCTGCCCTGATCATGCCCTGGGAAGGTCACCCCATGCCCCAGTATGTTCAAGGCCAGACTGGATGGGGCTCTGAGCAACCTGGTCTAGTTGAAGGTGGCCTTCCCTGCCCGTCATGGGTGGTTGGAACTGGATAAACTTCAAGGYCCCCTTCCCACTCAAACTGTTCTCTGATTCTATGATTCTGAGGCATAAATTGTGTYGGATCTGGTGTCTGAGGGGCTTGTCCCTCCACTAAATTACTGGGAAATTGTGAGGGTAAAAGAAAAGAAAAAATTRCTGACACGACTGCCTGAGTCTSCTTCCTCAGTGGGGGAAAGGTTTAYATGCCTTGTTAATCTGTGCCACCCATATACTTAGCGGSTCAATAACAAATATTGCCTATTTGTACACCTATTTGTTATAATATGTCATCATACTCACAAGTGATCACATCCTCTCCCTCCTTCATTGTGCAAGGCCATGGCAGTCAGCAAATTAACAGTTTGACTTATATTACACTGTAAAAATTTCAAGCTGCTCTCAGAAATCATTATTTTTCACCCATGCTGTGGTGGCTGAAATATTCCTAAAACAAGAAGTACCTCAAAGTATGGAAGATGGAAATGTTTCAAAAATATATGCCCCCTACCCAAATAAATGATGTAACAGAACAGGGAAGGGGGTGCTGTGCAATGTGGGTCAGTGAGGGATGGRCAAGATAAGACCATTCCCAGTTTGTAACTTTCTCTTGAGCATTCCCCAGACCTACAGGGGCAGTGTCCAGGAGGAAAGTGAATGATTGAGATTCCAAAAAGAAATTCASCTTATGTAATTTTTGGTTATTTTAAAGCTGGTGCCTAATCTAAGATATTTGGTCATTCTACAGCCAAGAGAGGGAGCAGGAATTTTCACCAACTTAAAACAGGCTGGACAAATCACATTGTGAGGAAACATGTCTCTAGTGGTTGTAGTGGTGAAGCCTGACCAGAGTCCAAAATGTATCTCTCCTGACTGGGGGCTGTTTGTAATTTGCTGATGWTAGGCTAAATGAATCCCACCTTTCTCTTTCATTCTTGGCTCTGGCAACAACTTGGTGCAGGATCATATGCCAGTCCTGTGTAACAACTGTTACACAACAGGRGAGGAAAGTGCCTTATTTCATCAGGGAACAAAGTGGGAGTGGTGTCTACTGCATATATGCAGCGTGGACACCATRGCTAAGGAGAGCATCTCTGTTCTGGGAACATTTAATTCAAGAATATACTTAAAGGCAAGYGTGTACTTTACCGATTTTCAGTATGGGAACATCAATACACAGATGTAGAGTGCTTTGAGATTCATCATGGTGGAATAACTTTAATGTATTATTTTTACAATGTATTATATGCTAACTGACCCTGCCTGAGCTAAAATTCTCCTTACTAAGACATCACGTTGGGGAAGATTTTACAATCCAGGGCTTTATCAGCTCCACAGTGTTATTTTCTTTATTTCTTTATTTACTCTCWTCACCTCGTAATATCAGTAGTAATGTATTCTTACATTAATAATGTGCCCTGTCGACATTTTTCTACTGCAGGTGTGTCCAAAAGAGKTTTTTGTCCTTTTGTATGATTTTTTCTTCTTTCCTCATTCTTCAACGTTACTGATTGCTAATCCTGGGACCAAGTTTATTCTAGGAGACCAACTGTGTGTTGACACATTCTGTCCTGAAGGTGGGGAAATTTATGGAGCACAGTTCCAAGTACACAGCACRTTACTATGTATTATAGAGAGCTTCCCTCCTCTGCTCRGTGAAAACTCGTTATACCAGTTTAAAAATATGTGAGGTATGCATCTCCTTCCTCCAGCATTAATCATTAATTAACATGTGATACTGACATTTCTGGTTGCTACTTAATGTAGCAAAACAGTATTTTATGTGCATTTCTAATTTCTTCTATCRTGCTGCCGCATCAGTGGAGGGTGACACATCCAGCTGTCAGTGTCAGTACACTGGTAATGCTGCCCAAAACAGAGCCATGAGAACAAACCTGTTTATAAAATTCCTGTTGCCAATCTGACTCCTTTTCCTTGTRTTACAGGCCAAAATGCATGTTTCTTCTCACAGAATGTGCTTATTGTATTTGCTACTGCAAATAGCTGAGAGTAGAACACTGAACTAAGAAACAGTGATCAAAGAGATCTTGCTCACCTGTTTTGGACTTTTTTCATGAATAGTTTTCATTTTGGGTCTGTCTTTTTTTTTTTTTTTTTTNTTTTTTTTTTTTTTTTCTCTGTATGTGGCCTGGATTTGATAAGAATTAATAGAACTGAGCAGTCAGAAAGGAAACATAGACTGATGGGAAGCTACCTATTATTTACTTGAATTTCAGTAGGCTTAGAAAGCTCCACAGTTAAAGTTCAGAGTCTCTTGTACGAGGCACTGTATGTAAAGTAAAAGAACAGGCAACAGATAGACAGAATAGGGAAATAAATATGCACTGAGATATGAGATAACCATGAAAGAGACAGGTTTTAGCCAAAGTGAAGGTTGGGTTACGTTTAGTCATTATGGTTGACTTAGTGTTGTGATAAACATGGTATTATCATGATTTGTTATTTGCATGAGAGGGGCCATAAGAAACCTCAGACAAGAGCATGGCTTTATTGTACAAAGTACTGTACCARCAGTAGTGCAGGTATTGCACAGTCACTGTTATTGTTTACAATCAGTAATACCACATGAAATGTGCCTTGGGACTGATTCATACAACTTTTCCTTGTGATTGACCACTTCCTTCTTTTGGCAGGACACTTACAGCCAGAGCCAAAGGACAGCTTCAGTGTCACAGCACTCCTTGCTTTTCAATGCCCAGCTGGCAGAATGCATTTCCAAGCAATGAGATAAACTTACAGTAACCAAAACTTGGGGCTTTGCCTGTGACTCAGCAGCAGTYAGATATCCCGGCCCAGTTGTCACTGCTGCCTCCCTCCTGCCAACTCTGTGGCTTTTGTTTTGTGGCCAGGCAGGTTTGCATAGTGAAACAGCTTAAAACAAACAAGACAAAACTGAAAGCTCCCTCCCCAAGTTTGCTGATGACACTAAACTGGGTGATGAGATGGACATGTGAGAAGTGACAACTGTCTTAGAGAGACACCTGGGTGGGCTGGAAGAGTGGACTAGCAAGAGRTGTAGGAAGTTTATTTAACAAGACCAGAGGCAAGGTCCTGCACCTGGGACAACATAACTCAAGAACTCATTAGAGGACAGGCCACACCTGAAGTACTGTGTTTGGTCCTGGTCTATGCAATTCAAGACACAGCCAGACTGGAGAAGGGCCACCAACATGATCCCGTGAGGAAAGACGGAACCAAAGCTGTCCCGTGAGGAAAGACGGAACAAATTAGGTCTTTTTTCCCTAGAGAAGACTTTGGGGCGCCCTTATCACAGTATTCCAGCACTTATGGGGTTACTACAAAGAGAGTAGAGGCTCTGTCTTCTCAAGGAGATGTAGTGCCGATGATGAAGCGGCAATGAGTACAAATTGCTCATTTGTTTGGAGCAGATTTCAGCTTTATATAAAGGTGAGGTTTCATCTTTATATAAAACACAGCTTTTATAGTGAGAAGAGTCACTCACCGAAACAATCTCCCCAAGCAATCAGGTAGAGCTGGAGGTTTTCAAGATGTCACTGGACAGGATGCTAGATAACCCCATCAAGGCTCCCTTCTTCATGAAAGACTGGACTAGGTGATGTTTTGAAGTCACTTCCAACCTGGGCTGTTCTATGATTCAGTGATCATTTTGGGTAGGTGCTCATATCTTTTTTTTTTTCACCCAGATGTTTTTGCATTTGGTTTGGACTGCTGTGGGACAAAGCCAAACTTTAAGCTGAGGGAGACAGAGGTCTGAAATCAGATCCATTGCTGTAGGGACAGGAATATCTCTGAGCTGCAGAGAGCAACTTCCATCCCTTCTCTGGGTGATCAGGGTACACGTGTGGAAAGTGAGAGATGAGTTTGAACAGGTGATTTAGAGACAACAGTC